CCAATCTGTAGGTTCTCTTTTGACTCTTTTGGAGAAGTCTTTGGAAGCACATAAAAATTTAATTTTTAGAAGGTCCCAATCATCTGGCTTCTTTCTGCTGTTGGTGCATTTTGAATTATGCTTGCTAGTCTATTTATACCATAATAATATAAGTAACTCTTAAGAATTTGTTTACGGTTTCTTGTGGGTATTGGCCTTTAGTCAGTCTGTGGCCAGACTACCTTCAGCAGTTCTGGTCTAATCCACACAGCAGAAGTTTAGAACCATAAATTTGTTTTTGGTTTTTTATTGGGATTTGGTTGAAAGTTTACAGAGCAAATTCGTTTTCCATTTAACAGCTTCACATACATTTTGTTTTATGGCACTGATTGCCATGCCCACAATGTAACAACTCTCTTCCCACTTCCTCCCTGTAGTTATCTTTTCCCTGTGTCCTTCATTCCTATGCAGTCCTGCCCACTGAGCTGTCTCCCTGTGCAAATACTGCCCTTCTGATCTCCCATGGTTGATTGTTCTAAGGCGTGTACCTACCTGGTATAATTATTCACTTCGTAGGCCTGTCCCTTGTTTAGCTGGAGTTAAGTCATGGGAGTGAGTTCAATTCTAGGCCCTAAGGGTAATTAGAGGCCATAATCTCAGACGTTTTACCAGTCTCCATCAGACCAGTAAGCTGGGCCGTTTTTATAATTTTGAGTTTTTAGAACCATAAATTTGATCATGCCATATTCCTCCTCCTTTTTTGCACTTAGAGTAAAGTTAAGAATTTCTGACTGTTTTTCAGGACTGCCTCATGTGGCTCTTGCCTCATTGTACAAGTGGCATCTGGTATGGCCTTTTCCACTGTTCTCCCCAAAGGGTTGCTCTTTCTTCTGACTGAAAGGCTCCTTTCCCCACTGTCCTTGCCTGGCCTACCCAGCTCCTTTCACCCTTCAAGACAGCTTAAGTGGAGCTTCCTCAGTGCAGTTCTTCACTGGAGATCCTGTTATGTGCTAGGCATGCTACCTAGCAAAAAACAGCTAACGTTTTTTGAGTATTTACTATGTGTCTTGTGCATTGGATTGTTAACCAGAAGGCTGGCAGTTCAAACCCACCAGCCACTCCTTGGAAGGAAGGTTGGGCAATCTACTTCTTTAGAGGTACTGCCTTGGAAACCCAAGAAGGGGTCACTATGCGTCGGTCTGACTCAATGGAAGTGAATTTGGTTTTTTGGAGTTTTGCACTGTTCTAAGCACTTTACATGCATTTTTTATTTCATCTTCACAATAACTTATTAAATAGGTACTACAGTAAAATCTGCAAAAGCCAGAACCTGTGTAAGGTAGAAGAAACCTGTCAGAGAAGGAAAACTCAAATATTTCCCACCAACTGAGGGCAATAGAAAAGTGGTAAGACTGTACCATTTCGGAGGCAGAAAACTTGTGAGACCTAGAAAAGCAAGGCAGTCCTGTTGAGTTCTGGCTTCAGCAGGTTTCACTATATTATTATTCCTATTTTACAGATGAGGAAACTAAGACACAGAAGTTATTTGCCTACATTGCCACAAATAATAAATGACAGAGCTAGAATTGAACACAGCAGTGTGATTCTGCTGTGCTGCACTATGCTATACATTCATCATCTCATTAAATAGAACTATGATATTCTTCCCTTTCTCTTGTTGAAAGGACGCTGAGAGACTATGATTCTAATCTCTTGAATATTGTAAGGAGGATCTAGAGTTCCACAGTAGGAACTTGCCTACCTAATGTCATACTGCTACTTAGGGACAGGAAAGATTACCATATTTTTTCGTATATGATGCACCCATATGAATAACCCACACACATAATAATGGTCCATAGCTAGCCTAGGAAATTAACATGTGAAAGGATTATGCCTGTTGCACAAAAAAAGATATGCATACATTATTTGCATAAAAAATATGGTAGCTCTCAGGTCTCCTATCTTCAGGGTCTATGGTTCTTTCTGCTGAACTAATGTAAGTTTATTTTCAGGAAAAATATATACATGCTTTTACATAATTTTATAAATTCTGCACCAATTGATCCAATACATATTTTTTAACAAATAGTCTTATGCCTAGAAGCAATAAAAACTGAGATGTTCTTACATTCAGATTTCATCTTCACATCTATCCTTTGCAACTCTTTTTGCCCAAATTACTTTTGATTTATGGATCCTCTGTTAGAAGACTTCTATTTGTGAATCAGTTAGGTAAGATCCAGTCATCACAACAGCCAAGTACTTCATATGATTATAAAATCTTTTAAGTAAAAGTGTTTACTCTTACTGTTCCCCTTCATTAGCTCTTGGGTTTTCATTTTAAAGTAGCACGATAAAGTTTTAGTTCAAAGAGATAAAAATTCTAACTACATGAAAGTATCTTAAAAAATTACACTTTATCTATTTTAAAATCTACTTAACTATTTTCAAATCCACAATATGTTTCCTTGGCTCTTGTAATATCCATAGAACAGTATGCAGTATTTTCAAGTAGAATTATTTATTGGAAAATTAAGAGTTCAAAAAGTTTACCATGGCTGCTCAATACTTTTTTTTAGGGAAAGGCCAGCAGCAATCCCTATAGAAATCAAAAGCATTGATGATACTTCAAATTTTGATGACTTTCCTGAATCAGATATTTTACAGCCAGGTAAGACAATCTACAACATGACTAACTCTGTTCAAAGACTATGAAGGTGTCATTTTCACTAATGAACTCTTTTGCTCTTGGTTAATTTTTCTATCTTTCAAGTGCCAAACACCACAGAACCGGACTACAAATCCAAAGACTGGGTTTTTCTTAATTATACCTATAAGAGGTTTGAAGGGTTGACTCAGCGTGGCTCTATCCCCACATACATGAAAGCTGGGAAATTATGAATGAAGATCACATTTGCCCACACCCAAGAGAACTCAGGTAGCTGCATCACCAGGCTTGCTTGGCGTAGATATCATCAATACACTGAAATATTCCCGAAGACTGGTGGTGCTTATCGACTACAAGAGGAAATTCTACAGGATTAGAATTTCTAAGACTACTACAGGAATTGGTTGGCAGTGCCAGCTGGCTTTTTTTTTTTTTTTTAATATTATTTTTGTTAACTTTATTATACAAAGGTACTGGAATAAAAGGAACGTACATCCCTTTCTAACTGCACTGCCTACATGCGTATTAAGGTCCATTCTGCCTGTGTGTCCTGTGGCTTTGTACTGTAACATTTTTAATCAATTCAGGAGAAACACATATCATTTAAAGCAACATAGGCTACCCTCTAGGTAACACTGCAGTATTGCTATTTTACTGCAAATCTTATGGGTCTAGATAATCAATAAAAGCCATCTTCCATAGATTGGTATTAGAAGACTTGCCCTATTGGTTTGGACATCTATAGACTATATATGAATTCAATCTCTGTAATGGTTTTAAGAAATTTTAAAAAAGGAAATACACTGGTTATTTATAAAATAAAATTTATGATCATGTTGTTATACAGACTTCAACAATAGGGAGTGACAGGTTTATAATAAGGAAGAGGAAGTTTAACACCTTCACTTAGGCACTCCACTAATAGATTTACTTTGCATTCAGAAATACTGATGACCTTTTTATATGTAGTCTCTATAGGGAGATGTACTGTATTATATAAAATGTAAAGTTTCTTTTCTTGTGACAAGAGGACTTCTTTTTTAATAAGAGGACATGGCATTATTTTAATTTGATTATGGTGAGTTGAATTTAAGAAATGACCATGAAGGCTGCTTATAGAACTAGTGTATTTTTATTAAACTATTTTTTTAAATGTCAGACTTCTGATCACGTAAATGGACTTGCAGAGAACAAAGAGCTATTTACTTTGGTTTTCTAGAAAGATGTTACATATCATCGCTTTTATTTCTTTTGAAGAAAAATTTTCCTTTGATAGTACTCGTATTGTGCCATTATTTTCTTAAACTCCAAATGTACCAAAGATCCTGAACGGAGTGCATGTCCTCAGCTGAGTAGACTTCTCCTTTCCTGTGGGAATGCTGTATTCAGACGTGGCATCTTTGATGGAGGTCATCTTATTCAAGGACAGTACTGTTCATGCTCAGCTTCAGCACTGTGGTTTACATAGGTGGGCTTAAGGACGTAAATGCCGTCTGGAAGGTTGTGATGAGGAGATAGAAGGGATAATGTTAGCATTAAATTCTTTAGACATTTCCCTAAGAATTAAATCATCTTTTCTAAGTCACCATTTTAATTAAAAAGTGATTCTTTGAGGTTTTGGTTTTGATAAGTCTGAGTGAGGAATACTGCTTTATCAAAGAATGGCCTAATATTTGTCTTCGCTGTTGATTGATAGAATTCATTTTAAATGTAACAGTTATAACCATTGCAAATGATCTGTAATCGAAATCTAAAGTGATGATTTGTTTATAGGAATGTTCTTCTTAATGGGGAACAATAGCATAGGAGCATTATGCACATCTATGAAAAAACTTGCACACATGTTGTTGCTAGGTAGCTCCACAGTGTCTCAATAAGACCATTGAGGATTTTTTCCCCTCATTCTTTTTTTTTTTTTTAAATATTTGTTGACTATTTATGTGTTCTTCTAATATTTCATTTCCATTTTTCTTGATTAGATCATGTGGCTGAGTATCCAGGAGAGAACTATTCAAATTCTGGGATTATCTCAATTTGATTTTAATAACTATAACTGCCTTTAATTTAAAAAGTATTTAATAACATCTGCCAGGATGTATCATGTATTTTCCCCACTTGTCCTTTTTAAAAAAAGAACTGTTTTGCTAGTGTGATAGTGAATGGGTAAGGTAGGAGGACACGGCAGCACTCTGCTCTTCTAGTACAGAAAAGTATCATTAATTCAGGTTGAGAGAGGTTGATACAAAAGACCTGAATTACCTAAATTTACTTTTTAATTGTATAAAGTTAAATTATTCCTAATTATCAGGAAGGACTTGGAAACAGTTAAAATTTCCTGAGAGTGGAAGAAGAGTTCTGGAAAGTTTACTTTGTTTAGAGTCTCATTTTCCCTGGAGTTAGTAGGGTGATTCACAATCTTTGGGGTTTTTCTCCTTATCAAAAACATTTTTTAAGTGCCTATCTAAAAGCAATTAAAGACTGTGTCTCCCCTTTGGAAGCTAAGAATTTGATTCATGATGCAAATTAACTAGATAATTTGCAGAATATCCTTTATATGGAATTTTCTCTATTACACATTTCCCGTATTTCAGGTGAACCATTTAATTTAAATGATAAAACCCTATCTAATCAACTGGGCATAATGACATTTTCTTTAAATTGGACTCTACTTTGAATTAAAAATTTTATTATAAACTGTGTGTTTGGTTTTTCTAAGTATATAGAAAGCTTGTATAACTCAGATTTATTGATTTCCTGGTTAATGTAGACTTTGACTTTTTTATTAAAAATATTTGTATTAAAGCAAGTTATGTTATTTTTCTTCATATGCATTTCTTGGAGCTTTAAATCTTTAAATTCATTGGAACATAATGTCTGAAAATAAGGAATTGCTTATAAATCAGCCCGTTTTGAATAGAATATGTGGCTGATTTAGCTAATTAGTTAGTGAAATTGACTTGCTCAGTTAAGCTAGTTTGTTAAATGAAAATAATGTGAAATATTAAAAAACTTCCTTTGGTTACTGAAGCTTAAGATAGATAGGGTTCCATTTATTTCTATAATAGTGTAATATTTCTGTTTTTTCCAGACACTTGCGTATCTGTGTAAATCTGTAAATTTAAAAATATTTTAAAGGACATTTATTTTTGGTAGATTACTGTAGAAAACATTTAGACAATCAATCAGTATAATCAGTCTCTACTGGTAGAAGAAACAACTGTCTCTCTTTTGACAAAGAAATGAATTGAGATGTTAATCAGTAGAAATCTAGCTACTGACCACATTCTCTCTTGGAATTGTTGCTTCCGAACATTCTGAGTGACTTTTGCTACCATGATTATTCCCCCTTGTCTTTATTTAAGTTTTGTTTTCTCTTTAGAAGTGCACTTATTTCTGAAAAATTTTAATGAAGCATACACTTAGAACAAATATAAATATAAGACTTGGGACTACTAGATATATTTTAGATTTCTATGAAAAAATGTGAGGGGATATTGCTGCTTTTAAAATGAATAAAAATAGTTGTTAGTTCTTTTTTTAAAAAAAAGCAATATAAATTATTCAGCAGTTGTCTAGAAAACTAATTATCAGGCTATTAAATTCTGTGTTCAGTTACTAAGTTAAAAAAAAATGTTTTGGTGGCATGAGGGCTTTTTCATTGAAGGTAAGACAGAAATAAAAGCTATGTTTACAAAATTTCTGTTGGTGAGGTTTTTTGGTTTTATTTTCAAGTTTTGAGATAAGTGTCATCGAAAACTCGAGAAAGACTATTTTGTAAATATATTCAACTTTTACACTTAAAGATCATGTCAAGAACAAGATAAATATTTGAAGTTTCAATTGTGTTAAGTTTAAACAGTCAAGATGTTGAGGAAGTTTATATTTAAAATCTCTTCAGATCTGCAGCTGAAAACATGGTTGTACAAATTATAACTTATAATTTGAGGTATATGGTGGGTATATACTTCATATACAACTTCCTGACTAATTTTCCTGACAGTGGTTTTGATTACACCTTTGGACCAAAACCACTTTGCAAGCAGTAAATTGAAAATGCCTGAAAATAGTATGAAGACCACAGATCTAAGCACCCAGGTACCAGTAGATCCTGTGCCATGAAGACACTGATACTCTTTATCTACTGAGACCAGAAGCAGCCACTCAGAATCCTATTCAGCATATTTGTGCTGTGTGCTATACCATTTGTTCTCTGGCATACATCATTTCAATAATGCCATTGTAAGACTGAGGGAAAACATTGGATTTCAAAATTTGGGCATTAGAGCATACTTGGAGATTCTGAATTCATCTTTCAAAAGCATCTAATGGATAAAAAGAACTTTCAGTTGTATAAAAATGTTTGCATTTACATTTTTCATTTTGGTTTTTACAAGTACTTTTTGATATAAACATGTTGTTTTTGTTGTTGTGTGCCGTCAAGTCAGACCCGACTCATAGTGACCCCCTCCTTGGGTTTCCGAGGCAGTATCGCTATGGAAGTAGATTGCCCCATCTTCCTTCTGAGGAGTGGCTGGTGGGTTTGAACTGCCAGCCTTCTGGTTGATATAAACATAATTACCATCATTTTACAGATGATGGACATGAGGCTGGATGATAGTTAATTGCCCAAAATACAGGTAATAAATTGCTCTTGATCCCAAGTGTGCATTCTGCTCCCATACATGATAGAGCATGGTTCATCAACAAATCACCTTATATTCTCAGAAAAATACACAGTGTGATTGTGACAATTGTCTGCTCATGGGTACTTTTGACTGCAGGTGACAGAAGATGCAAATAAAAGTAGCTTCAACAATAAGGAAAATGACCCAGAATAGGAGGTTTCCAGGGTAGTCAATTTAGGATCTCAAACACATTGAAGATCCAGGTTCTTTCCAGTTTTCTACTTTGTCAGCCTATCACTGTTGGCACTGTCTTCGATCTTGTTTTCTCAGAGTGCCTTGATGGCTGCACAACATCAGAACCCTCACATAACATACAAAGGCCTTAAAAAGAGACTTTTCTTCTTGTGCAGCCCCCTTTTTAAGAGCAAAGAAATATTTTCCAGAAATATTCTAAGCAGATTAACCCCCCATACCTTATGATTGGGGCCATGAGTGTATCTTCTCTTATTCCTAAACCAGTACCAGGTCTGGGGAACTTAATTACCATGATTGGCTTCAAACTTACCAAGATTCAAGTCCTTGGTACTGGAATTAGGGCTGAACTAACACACACTTGATATCAGAACCAAATTGGAGTTATTTTAACAAACTACAAGATAATCGAAAGTGTGCCACACAGGTTTATAGCAATGGTTCTTACTTGAAGGCACTGCACCTGCATTCTATTGCTGGATCTGCCATTGCCTTGGAACTGAAGACTGGTCCATTAACATCTTTCTTGGCCTATCTACAAAACTGAAGTACTGAGGACCACTGTGCTAGACCACGACTCAGCTGCTTGGATCCTTGTTCTTCAGAGAGCCATCATACAAACAGGATGGACGTAGGCCCAGTGACCAAGGTTTGTATTTTCAGAGTTTCACCACCCCTCCCAGCTCCTATTCATCAGACAGATCATCTCTTCATTGGTCCATCTCCTCCAAAGCAGTTGTATCAGAAACAGAGACTCTTGTTAATTTATTCCTCCCACAACCCAATCATGGGTGGGGTGCTATAATTACTATTGACTCAACTGCTTTGTCTTACTTGGGGAGATGTGCTTTCACTAATATAAATCAAAACATTTCTCAGGTGAGAGTATGTTCACTTCAGCAAAGTTATCTCTGAATTACTTTACCTTTCATAGTAAATCATCATCAAATCCCTAAACCTAGTATGACTTTTAAGACTCTTTTAAAGGAAGAAAATCATAACAGGAAGGGGAAACTCAATCGTTGGCCTAACATCTTTATCTTTCCTTGTCCTCTAGAGTAAGATTCTTATGAACAGAATTTGAAGAATCCTTTATAATTTTGTACAGTACTGGGAAGAGTGAGGAGGACTTGGCTCACCAAATTTGCTTTAAGAGTGTCCAGAACTTGTAAAAATTAGTTTAACCTACGTGGTCAACTGCACCCTTAACACAAATGCACACAATCCTTAAAGGAAAAATAACACATAAAAAGAGCTCTGCACAAGTATTCCCTTCATACTCATGCTAAATTTTGTCCTTTTTTGTTCTTTGCCCTTTTCTTGGAATTGTAGTTTAATGATACTTTGACCTTTTATTAATAGTAGAAATTCTACCACATACATAATGCCCTATACCTTGCAACAACCCAGGCTTAGGAAAATTCATTTTGACAAAGCAGTATTCCCTAACATACAGTACTCAGAGCAACAGTTTAAACTAGGGTTGTGAGTTGCTGCCAAGTCATTTTTTCACTCATTGATGGCATGTGAGACTAGAACTGCGCTATAGGGTTTTTTCTTGGTCGTGATCTTTACAGAAGCAGATCTCTAGGTCTTTTCTCCTACAGAACAGCTGGGTGGGTTTAAACCACTAGCCATTTGGTTAGCAGCCCATTGTTTAACCATGTGTGCCACTAGGGCTCCATCTCAACTAGGGTACTTACTTGAAATATAGATTTAGTGTCAACCTGTTGTTGTTGTTGTTATTTGCCATAGAGTCAGCCCCGACTCATAGCGACCCCTCCTTGGGTTTCCGAGGCAGTATCACTACGGAAGTAGGAATGCCCAACCTTCCTTCCGAGGAGTAGCTGGTGGGTTTGAACCGCCAGCCTTCTGGTTAGCAGTCAAGTGCCTTAGGCACTATGCTACCAGAGTGTCAACCTAGACCTACTAAATCAGAATCTCTGGGGATGAGTCTGAAGTTCTGAACATTCATTAATTCCCCAGATAATTCTTATGTACATAGAACTTTGAGAGCTACTGAATTAAGAGGAAAAGACCATGGTTGGACTTTTCCAAGAAGTAATAATACCTGTCTTATCTGAGTATTGTGAGAACACTTACATAAACACACATGGTAGATGAAGTATAAAAGTCAGTGTTTATAGTAGTGCCTGATACACAGTAAGCACTCAATAGATATTTGTGAACAAATGAGTTAAATAACTACATTTTGTGGGTGACCTTTTCATCGAAGGCAAATCTCAAAATATTTTCACATCTAATGACAAATATATACAATTCCAAAAGCACTGAAAGGGGAGGTGAATGCAGACTAGGCACACACACACACACACACAGCCCAGATCCTCTACAACAAAGATCCAGGAAACCAAGTGAAGCAGATACAAATGACAATTCTGGAACAGTGAGCTTCAAAGGAAAGGATAAAGAAGTAGATCAAATACTGATTAGAAGAAGAAATAGAATGAAAACAGTGAAGAAAGAGACATACAAAGTGGTGAATTGCCAACTGGCCTGGCCCAATGCAGCCAACTTGAATTATTACAAATAGTGTTCTGATTGCAGCCAGAAAACCAACTCTGCTTGCCCAGGACTGCACTAGCACCCACACTGTGACCAGCCACCATAGAAGTGTAATTGTCCCCTTTACCTTGCACAACCTCCAGTGACCAGAGGAGTGGTCCCCTCCCCACCTAGCTGCTGGTCAAGTCCCACCACTTCACCCTTACCCCACTTGGTGTTCTGCCCAGCTAACCTGCCTCTCCTCTGTGGCCTTGTAACCTATCATTTCAATTTCCCAGTGGCCTGGGGCACACTCCGGGAGACAGCACTGTGATTTAGCTGCCTTAGACATGTGTGGCTGGAGGGTGCACTGGTACTGTGCCACTTTTTTCCCCCCTACTCCATTTCCCTTTTTTCCTTTCTTTTCCCTCTTTCACTTCTTTTTTTTTTCTTCGCCATCAGATGGGAGGCAGTGATTCTACCCAGCAATACCCACACCTGCCACCCCCACCCACTGAACAAGTGCCATCATCCAATCAAGCACCACTGGAT